CTTTGACCCCAAACCCCATCACCTTGTGACCCCCCTCCACAAAAGACGCCATAACCCCATCCGACCCCATAACCCCACAGAGACCCCATAGACCCCGCGACCTTTGACCTCCGTGACCCCACGTGACCCCTCCCAACATGACCCTCAGATGACCCCTGACCTTTGACCCCGCAGATCCAGCCCGACCTGCGGGAGCTCCTGGAGACGATGAACCGTATGAGCGCCCTGCCCAAGGACTTCGAGGGCCGGCACCACGTCCTGCACTGGTCCTTATGGGGTCTTATGGGGTCCTTATAGGGTCTTCATAGGGTCCTATGGGGTCTTATGGGGTCTTGTGGGGTTTTATGGGGTCTCTATGGGGTCCTTACAGAACCGTATGAGCGCCCTGCCCAAGGACTTCGAGGGCCGGCACGACGTCCTGCACTGGTCCTTATGGGGTTTTGTGGGGTCTTTATAGGGTCATATGGGGTCTTATGGGGTCCTTATGGGGTCTTGTGGGGTCTTATGGGGTCTTATGGGGTCTTATGGGGTCCTTACAGAACCGTATGAGCGCCCTGCCCAAGGACTTCGAGGGCCGGCACCACGTCCTGCACTGGTCCTTATGGGGTCTTATGGGGTCTTTATGGAGTCCTTATGGGGTCTTATAGGGTCTTTATAGGGTCTTTACTTATGGGGTCTTATGGGTTCTTTATAGGGTCTTTATGGGGTCCTTATGGGGACTTGTGGGATCTTATGGGGTCTTATGGGGTCCTTATGGGGTCTTATGGAGTCTTATGAGGTGTTATGGGGTTTCACGGGGTCTTATGTGGCCTAATGGTGTTCTTATGGGGTCCTTATGGGGTCTTTATAGGGTCCTTATGGGGTCTTAAGGGGTCTTATGGGGTCTTATGGGATCTTACGGAGTCTTATGGGGTCTTATGAGGTCCTTATGGGGTCATATGGGGTCTTATGGGGTCCTGATGGGGTTCTTCTGGGGTCTTACGGGGTCTTATGTGGCCTATTGGGGTCCTTATCGGGTCCTTATGGGGTCCTGATGGGGTCCCTATGGGGTCGGGGGGATATGGGGTCTTTATGGGGTCCTTACAGAACCGTATGAGCGCCCTGCCCAAGGACTTCGAGGGCCGGCACCACGTCCTGCACTGGTCCTTATGGGGTCCTTATGGGGTTTTATGGGGTCCTATGGGGTCTTATAGTGTCCTTATGGGGTCTTTATAGTGTCCTTATAGGGTATTAATGGGTCTTAAGGGGTCCTTATGGGGTCTTATGGGGTCTTTTTAGGGTGTTTATAGGGTCTTTATGGGGTCTTTATAGGGTCCTTACAGGGCTTTATGCGGTCTTTATAGGGTCCTTATGGGATCTTATGGGGTCTTAAGGGGTCCTATGGGGTCTTAAGGGTCTTTATAGGGTCCTTATGGGGTCTTTATAGGGTTCTTATGGGTCTCATGGGGTCTTATGGGGTCTTATGGGTCTCATGGGGTCTTATGGGGTCTTATGGTATCTTATGGGATTTTATGGGGTTACGGAGTCCTTATGGGATCCTTATGGGGTCAGGATTGTCTATAGGTTCCTTATGGGTTTTATGAATCCTTGTGGTGTCCTTATGGGGTCATATGGGGTCTTATGGGGTTTTATTGGTTTTGATGGGGTTATGTGATCCTTATAGGGTCCTCATGGTGTCAGGGTGGTCTATGGGTTCCTTATGGGTTCTATAAGTCCTTGTGGTGTCCTTATAGGGTCATATGGGGCCATATGGGGTTTTTATGGGGTGTTTATGGGGTCTTATGAGGTTTTATCGGTTTTCATGGGGTTATGGGGTCCTTATAGGGTCCTTCTGGTGTCAGGGTGGTCTATGGGTTCCTTATGAATTCTATAGGTCCTTGTGGTGTCCTTATGGGGTCATATGGGGCCATATGGGGTGTTTATGGGGTGTTTATGGGGTCTTATGGGGTCTTACGGGGTTTTATCGGTTTTCATGGGGTTATGGGGTCCTTATAGGGTCCTTCTGGTGTCAGGATGGTCTATGGGTTCCTTATGGGTTCTACAGGTCCTTGTAGTCCTTATGGGGCCATATGGGGTCTTTATGGGGTCTTATGGGTTTTGATGGGGTTTTATCGGTTTTGATGGGCTTATGTGATCCTTATAGGGTCCTTCTGGTGTCAGGGTGGTCTATGGGTTCCTTATGTGCTCAGTGTCCCTATGGGGCCCTTATGGGGTCGTTCGGGGTCCCCTTATGGGTCCCGCTGACCCCGCTGCCATCGCAGGCTGCAGACGCTGAGCTCCATGTCGGCTGCAGACGAGCTGGACGACGCCCAGGTCCGCCAGATGCTCTTCGACCTCGAGTCCGCCTACAACGCCTTCAACCGCTGCCTGCACGCCTGAACCGGAACCGGAACCAGAACCAGAACCGGAACCAGAACCGGAATTGGAACTGGGACTTATGGCAACACCACAGCGCCGCCGTGGCACCAATGGAAACGATGGGAAGAATGGAACCGGTGGAAGCAATGGAACCAGTGGTACCGATGGACCCAACGGAACCAACGGAACCGATGGTGTCGATGGTACTGATGGAACCAATGGTACCGTTGGTACCAATGGACCCGACGGAACCAATGGACCCCATAGACCCCATGGACCCAATGGACCCCATGGACCCAACGGAACCAATGGACCCCATGGAACCAATGGAACCAATGGACCCAAATGGCACCAATGGACCCGATGGAACCAATGGAACCAACGGAACCAATGGAACCAATGGACCCCATGGAACCGATGGACCCAACGGAACCGATGGAAGCAACAAACCCAATGGTACCAATGGATCCAATGGTACCAATGGAATCAGTGAAAATCAGTGGCACCAATGGACCCAACAGAACCAACGGACGCAATGGTACTGATGGACCCGATGGACCCAATGGCACCAATGGACCCAACGGACCCAAGAGAACCAACAGACCCAACGGAACCAGTGGACCCAACAGACCCAATGGCACCAATGGACCCAATGGAACCAACGGAACCAATGGAACCAATGGAACCAATGGAACCAACGGACCCGATGGAACCAATGGAACCAACGGAACCAATGGAACCAACGGACCCGATGGAACCAATGGAACCAACAGACCCAACAGAACCAACGGACCCAATGGAATCAACAGACCCAATGGACCCGATGGAACCAACAGAACCAACGGACCCAATGGAACCAATGGACCCGATGGAACCAACGGAACCAACGGACCCAATGGACCCAACGGAACCAATGGCACCACTACATCAGTGCGACTCACCGTCACCATCACTGCTGAGTCAACGGCACCAGAACTGTAACCGGAACCAGAACCATTGGGTCAACGTCACCACCAAGTCAACGTCACCGTCACCGCTGCAACACCGTCACTGTCACCATCACTGCTGGGTCAACAGCACCGGCACCGGCACCAGCACCATTGGGTCAATGGCACCATGGGGTCAGCATCACCACCGGCTCAACGGCACCATTGCAACACCATCACCAAGCAGATCAGTGTCACCACCACGTCACCATTACCATCGGGTCAGCGTCACCGGTGTGTCAACGTTACTGCCTTGTCACCATCACCACCGGGTCAGTGTCACCGTGGTGTCACCATCGTGACACCGCCTCCATCGGGTCAACGTCACCACCTTGTCAGTGTTAGTGCCAGCTCACCATCACCACCAGGTCAATGTCACCACCGGATCAATGTCACCGTGGTCGTCACCAGCGGGTCAATGATGTCACCATCACAACACCGTCACCGTCGCCGTGACACCATCACCGTCACCGCTGGGTCAATGGCACCGCTGTGACACCCTCAACACCGCATCACCACCACCGTCACAACGGTCACCACCACGTCACTGGCACCACTGCGACACCGGCACTGTGGCACCAGCACCAGCATTGGCGTCACTGGGTCAACGTCACCACGGTGACACTGTCACCATCACCATCAGGTCAACGTCACCATCACTATCACTGTCACCATCACTGTCACCATCACCATTGGGTCAGTGTCACCATCGCTGTCACTGTCACCATTGGGTCAACATCACCGTCACCGTCACCATCGGGTCAATGTCACCATTGGGTCAGTGTCACCATTGTTGTCACCGTCACCATTGGGTCAATGTCACCATCACTGTCACCATCGGGTCAATGTCACCATTGGGTTAATGTCACCATCACCGTCACCGTCACCATCGGGTCAGTGTCACCATCGGGTCAATGTCACCATCACCATCACCATCACCATCACCATCGGGTCAATGTCACCATTGGGTCAGTGTCACCATCGTTGTCACCGTCACCATTGGGTCAATGTCACCATCACTGTCACCATCGGGTCAATGTCACCATCACCACCACCATCACTGTCACCATCGGGTCAATGTCACCATTGGGTCAATGTCACCATCACTGCCACCATCACTGTCACCATTGGACCAATGTCACCATGGGGTCAGTGTCACCATCACTGCCACTATCACTGTCACCGTCACCATCAGGTCAGCATCACCACTGTGACACCATCACCGTCACCACCACGTCAACGTCACCACTGGGTCACCATCACCGGCGTGTCAATGTTACTGCCTTGTCACCATCACCATCGTGTCACTGTCACCATGGTGCCACCACCATGTCAATGTCACCACTGTGACACCGTCACCATCACCTCTGGATCAATGTCACCGTGGTGTCACCATCACCACCGGGTCAGTGTCACCATCAGACCAATGTCACCACCACATCAGTGTCACCCGTGCGTCACCATCACTGTCACTGCCACGTCAACGTCACCACCGGCTCAATGGCACCAATGTCACCATCACCACTGGATCAGTGTCACCGTGGTGTCACCACCATGTCAACGTCACCACCGTGACACCGTCACCATCACCACCCTGACACTGTCACCACGATGTCCCCGTTAACACCAAGGCAGTGTCACCATGGTGTCACCATCACGACCACGACAACAGCATCACCGTCACCACCACGTCACCGTCACCACCGGGTCAGTGTCACCATTGGCTCAATGTCACCATGGCGTCACCGCTGGGTCACCATCACTGTCACCACCACGTCAACGTCACCGTCACCACTGTGTCCCTGTCACAACGCTGTCACCGTCTGGTCACCATTGTGTCACCATCACTGTGCTGTCACCCTTGTCACCATCATTGCGCTGTCACCATCCTTGTGGTGTCACCGTCACCACGGTGTCACCATCACTGCGGTGTCACCATTGTCCCCGTGGTGTCACCATCCTGGTGGTGTCACCATTGTCACCATTGTCCCCACGGTGTCACCATCCTTGTGGTGTCAGCACCACTGTGGTGTCACCATTGTCCCCGTGGTGTCACCATCCTGGTGGTGTCACCATTGTCACCATTGTCCCCACGGTGTCACCATCATGGTAGTGTCAGCATCACTGTAGTGTCCCCATTGTCCCCAAGATGTCACCATCCTGGTGGAGTCACCATTGTCCCCACTGTGGTGTCACCATCATGGTGGTGTCACCATTGTCCCCACGGCATCACCATCACTGTGGTGTCCCCACTGTCCCCATGGTGTCCCCACTCTGGTGTCACCATTGTCCCCAAGATGTCACCATCCTGGTGGTGTCACCATTGTCCCCATGGCTGTGGTGTCACCATCATGCTGGTGTCCCCATTGTCCCCATTGTCCCCATGGCATCACCATCACTGTGGTGTCCCCATTGTCACCATCATGATAGTGTCTCCATTGTCCCCAAGATGTCACCATCCTGATGGTGTCACGATCATGGCGGTGTCACCATTGTCCCCATTGTCCCCATGTTGTCACTATGGTGGTGTCCCCATGGCCATGGTGTCCCCATTGTCCCCAAGATGTCACCATCATGGTGGTGTCCCCATTGTCCCCATGGTGTCACCACGGTGGTGTCACCATCATGCTGGTGTCCCCATTTTCCCCATTGTCCCCATGGCCGTGGTGTCCCCATTGTCTCCACTGTGTCACTATCACTGTGGTGTCTCCACTGTCCCCAAGATGTCACCATCACTGTGGTGTCACCATTGTCCCCAAGATGTCACCATCTCGGTGGTGTCCCCATTGTCCCCATGGTGTCACCACGGTGGTGTCACCATCATGCTGGTGTCCCCATTGTCCCCATTGTCCCCATGGCCATGGTGTCCCCATTGTCCCCACGGTGTCACCATCACTGTGGTGTCCCCATTGTCCCCATTGCAGGAGCTGTGGGGTCACACCGTGTGTGGGGACGGGCAATAAAATCCCACAGGCTGAACCTAAATGTTGTTTTGGGGTCGTCGTGGGGTTGTGGGGGTGGTTGTAGGGTCAGTTGTGGGGTGGTTGTTGGCTGTGGGGTGGTTGTGGGGTAGTTGGTGGTTGTGGGGTTGTTGAGGGGTCGTTGTGGGGTGGTTGTAGGGTCAGTTTTAGGGGTGTTGTGGGGTGGTCATGGGGTTGGTTGGGTGGTTGGTTTTGGGGGTTGTTGGTTGTGGGGTGGTTGTGGGGTTGTTGAGGGGTGGTGGTTGTGGGGTTGTTGATTGTGGGGTGGTGGTTGTTTGTGGGATTGTTGTGGGGTGGTTGTAGGGTCAGTTGTAGGGTGGTGGTTGTGCAGTCATTGTGGGGTGGTTGTGGGGTTGTTGGTTGGGTGGTTGGTTTGGGGGTTGCTGGTTGTAGGGTGGTTATGGGGTGGTTGGTGGTTGTGGGATGGTTGTGGAGTGGTTGTAGGGTCAGTTGTAGGGTGGTTGCGAGGTTGTGGGGTGGTTGTTTGCAGGATTGTTTTGGGGTGGTTGTAGGGTGGTTGTGGGATGGTTGTTTGAGGGATTGTTGTGGGGTGGTTGTAAGGTCAGTTGTGGGATGGTGGTTGTGGGGTCATTGTGAGGTGGTTATGGGGTTTTTAGCTGTGGGGTGGTTGTTGGTTGTGGGGTTGTTGGTTTGGGGGTCGTTGGCTGTGGGTTCATTGTGGGGTGATTGTTGTGGTTATGGGGTGGTTGTAGGGTTGTGGGGTGGCTGTTGGTTGTGGGGTGGTTGTGGGATCGTTTGTTGTGGAGTTGTTGTAGGGTCACTGTGGGGTGGCTGTTGGTTGTGGAGTGGTGGTTGTGGGGTTGATGTAGGATTGTTGGTTGTGGGGTGTTTGTGGGATGATTGTAGGGTCAGTTGTGGGGTGGCTGTGAGGGGGTGGTTGTGAGCTTGATGGTTGTGGGGTCACTGTGTGGTGGCTGTGGGGTGGCTTGTGGGGTTGTTGGTTGTGGGGTCATTGTGGGGTGGTTCTGGGGTTGTGGGGAGGTTGTGGGGTCAATGTGGGGTGGTTGTTGGTTGTGTGGTTGTTGTGGGGTTGTTGGGTGTGGGGTAGTTGTTGGTTGTGGGGTCGTTGGTTGTGGGGTCAGTGGTTGTGGGGTGCTGACACCAGGAGAGTGGCACCACCGTGGTGCCCTCTGACCCCACGTGACCCCGGGTGACCCCTTGACCCCGAGTGACCCTCTTGATCCTGAGTGACCCTTGACCTCAAGTTACCCTGACCCCGAATGACCCTTTTGACCCCTAGTGACCCCTTGGCTCTGAGTGACCATCAACCCCGAGTGACCCTCCTGACCCCCTCCTGACCCTCAACCCTAAGTGACCCCGTGTGACCCCTCGAGTGACCCTAAGTGACCCCTCGACCTGAGTGACCTACCTGACCCCGAGTGACCTCTCGACCCTAAGTGACCCCATGTGACCTCTCGACCTCGAGTGACCCTTTTGACCCCTAGAGACCCCTTGTCCCCAAGTGACCCTCCTGACCCTGAGTGACCCCTCGACCCTAAGTGACCCCATGTGACCCCTTGACTTCGAGTGACCCTTTTGACCCCGAGTGACCTCTTGACCTCAAGTGACCCCTTGGCTTCAAGCGACCCCCCCCCCCCCCCCCCCCCCCC